CAGTTCTGTGCCAAGGTCTGAAACCCAACTGAAAGGTATCCAAATAATCTCTTTCCTCCAGAAACCTCTGAAGCTGTGGCCTGACCACCTTCTCAACAGATAGTTGGGTTGGGACTTGGAGGTGGGTTGGAACTTTTCCAACACCATTGGGATCCAGCGGTGGCTTTTTGAGGAGGGGACAGACCACCACCTCTTTAAGTGTAGGTGGAACCAGCCTTTTTAGTTGAACAGAAATTTGATCCAAGAGATGGTGGCCAAGAAAAAAAAAAAAGATTTGAATCCAAGGGGTTAGTGGCCATTTTTTAAAAATCTGTGACAAATTCACAGGAATATAGGAATTATGGTTTGAATTGTTGCACATTTGCAGCCAGAAAACTGAATTAGCAAACACAGCAATGAATGAAGTCTAATATTCCAACACTATTGATCACCAAAAGCATGTCATCTTTCTAGCATCTCATAATTCTCTTTCAGTTAAGAAGTGTGTGCTTGATCCTCACATTAAAAACGCAGTGGGTGTTGTACTACATTGTTTGTCACATGTTGTACAAACAGCAGTTGTCTTTTGGAAAGCCATTTCTACCATAGTGCTTCATATGCATGAAAGGAGCTCCAAAATTGTAGATTTTGCCCTGGAAAAAATGGTCTCTAGTCTCTCATTTCACAAGCCATGTCTGTAGCTCAGCAGCCAGCCTCAGGCAAAGTCATGGATGGTCCCCAATTCCTTGGACTCAGAAAATATAATTTATTCATTTATTCCTGAATCCCTAGTCCCAAGGCAAAATTCAATCTATTGGTTCAAGGAACAATTTTCTCTTCAATTTAGGAATGATAGCAGGATACCTTCTTTTGGAAAGGGAAAGCTGGATAAGGTTTAGATGCTGCGGTACAAGACGAGGTGTAAAATACAAAGGTAAAACAGTTTAATGAAGAATGTTCTTTTTTTAATGAAGAACTTTTGAAACAGAATGTATCCAAAGCACCATGTGTCTTGTGTAAATAAAACAGTTTTGTTCAGTGTAGGGGAGTATACAATGAACAGGCAACTAATTCTTTTCATTTAAAAAATAATAAGCATGACAAAGAGAGTGCTAGGAAAATAAGCATGTGGGAGTTCTGCATAAAAGCAGTAATGTGGCATTTATTTTGTGATTGATGTGCTGTGAGGAAAGTAATGTAAGTTTGCATGACTTTGCCGTTTGATTTGTGCAGGTGCTTAACTGTACCAAAAAGTTGCTTCTTAGTCTATATTAAATTGTGAGTCACTAAGAACTGATGTCAGTAAGAATACTGTATCATGATAATAAATGATCGTGTCCAGGTGAGAATGAATAGCAACCATTAGAGTTGAATAGATTTAACCAAGGGCAGAATTTACTCATGCAAACTGCATTTTTTTCTCCCTACCAACCGGTGATAGATGATCTAGAACCAGAAAGTCTGAGGCAGTGAGCCATTTAACAGAACAAATTGTGGTTTCTTCCTTTCAAGCTTTGATTTAAAAAGAGGACCAATCAAAGGAATTCTGTCTTTGAAACTCAGCTATTCAAAAATCCTCTGTTTGAAATACCTAGCCAACTAGCATAGACATTGTTCTCCCTCAGGGTCTTTGGCTATGGCTTCCACACAAACCAGCCTCCTGTGAACTCATCTCAAAATGTTCAAATGATCTGTTGATGTCTCTCAACTCAACAACAGGCAGTCACTGATTTTAGCTTATCATATCAAGGAGAAACCGTACATTGTGATCCAATGACATTTTAACACAAAAAACTTTGGGCATAACATCCTGCACCCAAAGGATGGCTTTCAGAAATGAATTCTTTTTTTTCTTTTTAAGATTTTTTGCTTAGGATTTAAAATGGCTTACAAAATTAAAACGTGACGATTTTAAGAAATAGATTAAACAAAAAGACAACTCACTATGTCTAATATGAATAACTACTCAGGTAAGAATCACAAAAAACATACTGGATTCTACTCCAGTGACCTACCCTAGCCACCTGCCCTCTAAATGTGCTGAGATTTACAGTTCCAAAATTCCCAGCAGCCAGGCTGGCTAGGAATTTGGGGAATTGTAGTTCTAACATATCTCCAAGTAGGAGGCAGAGGAAGATTTCTGTGAAAGAAACATTAATGAAGTATATTAAATAACTGCATGCTACATATAAGAGTTAACAAACTTTTGGGGCCAGGGAGAAATACGGAGTTTGAAAGTTTGTTATGGATACTTTCTCAAAATGACTGTCCTCGTGGGCTCCCATTCAGAAAAAGTAAAATCTTAAGGATCTTTACCATGATGCCTTGTAGCTTTCACCCTACTGATCTTTAGCTTTTCCTCTCAGCAGATGGGCTCATTTTCAAATACATCATCAGGTTGCATCTGTCCACCATTTTATTTTCTTATGGGATGGATATGGAGCCCATGTATATTCCCATAAATATAGGTGATGCTAGAGGCTAGTTACTGCCAGCAATGTTGAGGAGGGTGGGAGAGCAGACTGATGAAAGCAACTGTGTCATGATTCAAGTCTCACCCCTTTTATGCATGTGCCATGTCATCACACCCACATACAAAAGGGGTAGGCCTTGTGGTATGACATCGTTTCCATCATTCTCATGAAAGCCACAGGTTCCTGAGGATACCCATACTGTAGCTAGCTTTTACACATTTATTTCAATTAAGGTATCACATTGTGTTTCCCTGGTGTAAAGCCTAGCTAAATGTAGAGTGGTCCAAAAGTAAGGGAAAATACAAAGTGATTGCAATCATCCCAGAATAGTAATCATGTTCACTGAGGCTGTAGTGTTCTGGAAGGTAGGGCCTATTTTTGAAAGACAGGGCAGCCTTAGGAAAAAGGGCATCTGTCAAATCTTAATTTATATCAGTAAACTCCTGGTAGATAAATATTCCTCAGAATTTGGAGGTTGCTTGCAGTTACAGTTCAGCTATAGCTGAGGCTCAAAAAAGGTTTTGCAAACTTATACAAAGAGGCGAGAAATCTTGCATGTCTTTGCACTTTCATTCCCAGCTGTTAGGTTTTAATTGTTCTACTGAGTATTTAAGTAGGTGTTTATTTCCAAGCCATCACTTTCTTGGCAATTTTCTTTCTGTGAATTCTTGGGAAAGTCTTCAGAAGATAAACACCCAAGAGTCTAAAAGGGGTACTAATAATCAGGTAACGTGTTGAAATGCGGGAGAAAAAAAAAACCGAAACAAGCAAGGCATATGGAGCCTGGAGGTGGGAGAACTCCTACATTTCTGATCTTGGTACTAATATACAGCATTTGTGCAAGATCAGGAATAACTGTGATAAAGATGTGTGAAGCAATTAGCAAAACTGAGATTTAGTATTCAAATAGATAACAAAGCAAGCTGCACTTCAAAAATCTGCAGCAATTAAGGGGAGGTTGGAAAAGACTGAACCAGATGAGCAATTGAAAGATAGGCAGGAAAACTTTGCTACCCCTCCTTTAGTTACATACTGGGGAAAAGGAATTGCTTCCATTCTTTGCATCTGTTGGACAAGATCCCAAAGCTTGGAAATATTTTTAACAATGGTATTAAACTAAATTGAAACACAGAAAATAATGCTGTTGGGTGTCTTCAGTCCATGAAAAACAGAAATCCCCAAACAGGAGAGAACATCATGTTGTAGTCTAGAGTACATCTTCTGCATGCAATGTATCCCATTTCAGATGGCTTCAGATGACATCTCTGGGATTCTGGAAAGTAATTTCTGGGCAGAATAGACATTACTGGGCTTGACACAGTAATTTGATCTGATCTGATGACAAGGATTAAAACTAATTTTTACTATAGGAAAGTTGTGATTGTAGAGGATATATGTAGCTCAGGTTGGATTGTTGGAGTTTTCCAAGCTTGGTTTTTCATTTGGAATTCCTTTGTTCCATTGCCCACCCAGGTAACATCTTGAGTGTTATGATCTTGGTTAAGTGAGGCTTATTGACTAGTTGTGGACTGTCCTATCAGCCTGTGACTGGATGGGCTATGCCTTATGTGTTGTTTATATGGAATTGACTTGTTATTACCCGGTTCTTGTCAGGCTAATGAGGAAAGTCTCCTTTGAGCCCAATTCAATGTTTAGTACTTGGCAACAGTACAGAAGTGGTTTCCCATGGCCTTCTTTCAAGTTGTTTTTTCATTTCCTAGTCTACCAGAAAGTCCTGATTTTTCCTGGTGCCTTCCCTTCCAAATATGAACCACACTTTGGGCTGCTTTGCTTCCAAGTCCACCTTGTTGAGGGAATTTTTTACTGAAGGATAGGAATTGCTGTGGTGTTTTTTAGTCAGAGAAACAAATTGTAAAACAGAGTGTCCAGTTAACCATCGGATCTGAAAATAACATAGGAAAAGAGATTAATCTATAATTCCCTTTAACCAAGACTTAGCAACAAAGCAATTTCAGATCATTCTAATCCGCAGACAGTACAGATTCCAGACCTCTCACTTTCCATTCAGCTACTGGAGTCTGGTTTTTCACAGCCCTCTGGTCTGGCTTCTTCTGATTTTCAGCTCTTTTATTGGACTGAATTCCTTATCAACACTTTCATGCCACCTCTGCTTTGACCTGTTATCTTAATTCTCCTTCTCAGCCTCTTAGCCATTTACAAGGACAATGAAGTTTTGTTTCAGTTGTGAATCCTGTTATGTTTCTTCCCTGCTCCTTTATGTTTTCTGTTTCCTTAACATTTGGAAAGGAACACCTTCTAAACCAGGGGCTCACAGGGTTACGTTTGCCGTCTACCCCTGCTAAATCTTGACTATAACTGCCACAACCTTTCAGAAGATGCTACCAAAATGTCATTTTTTAATCAGAAGGGATATGAATTAAATATATGGGAATTAAATGTGAAATCATATGAACAGTGCTTAATATCATATACTGTAGTTATAACAAAATTTATTTTGGGGTCTGTTCAACATTTGACTGTTGTTGTTTTCCTTCCCCACTTTTGTCTTGATTGATATTGATTCAGTGATAGAATTGCAGCTTCTTATGACTACATTTATTCCACAATAAGGTAATGGAACAGAAAACTGATCTGTTCTGTCTTGGCTTTACCTGCATAAGAAACAATGTAGAGATGTGTTGCAATGTCTTAATGCATGTGCTTGCTTTTAAAACCTGGTTGTATGTTAGCTCTTAATTTTTATACTCACCTTTGCACATTTAAAAGGCACCACATAAATATAACTGTTGATGTTATTTATTATCAATAAATGGAAATGGATTTGGAAATAAATGGAAATGTTTAATTTAGAATGACAACTTAGATATACTTGGAATGCCATGTCCATGTGAAATCTAAGCATTTGTTCACATCAATTCAGGTACAACCATGACCAATGAGAAGAAAAATAGATGGCAACAGTAATTGGGCCTTCTAACTAATTGAGTACCTGCACTGCAGCCTTAAGCTACTCCAGTTCCATGCTGATGCTGGCAGGACTGGAAGTCATTTTAAGAAAATTTGGTGCAGATTAGGATATTCGGCAGTAACTTGCCAGATGTTCAGAATGAATTGCTGGTTACCCCAGTCCCCCATTTGACAATTAACTAGCTTCTGTGTGCTTCCAACTTTCTGTGTCATACTCTTTCACTCTTCCTCTCCTCTCCTCTCCTCTCCTCTCCTCTCCTCTCCTCAGCACTGTGATTGTAATATTTCTCTGACGTACAGAATTCAAAACCCAGCAGTAACTTATTACTACTATTTTTCTTTTCCAGAGCCACCAACTTGGCTGCTTTTTTATTTTTAACGAGTTCCCCAGTGCACCATTCCATCCTTTTTCCTGTCACTTGAAGTAGAAAGATGATCCATTTGCCCATCTGAGAGAAAGGTTAAAAAAGGGAGGATGGTCTTCCAGTGGACTTCTAAAAAAAAAATTAAAAAGCCAGTGAGCGTCTGCATGTCAAGCAAATGTTATAACCATCATGTTACTGGAACACCATTATCAATAATAGCTGCAGCAGAGATTGGAAGGCTTCAGGGTGCTGACTATTGTTCTAGGTACAGGGTGTTCTTGCCACTGCACGCCATAACTAGTCAAAGTGCAGAAAAGTAAAGCACATCAGGCAGAGCAGGTAACATTGCTTGAGCTGGCCCAAACCAAAAAACACTACTTTCAACACACAGCAGGAAAAAACAGGCAGTGGTCACATTTGCAGTAAATTTGGAGTGACTAGAGGACATCATCACCTGCTCCTACCCTCCATAAACAGTTGGAAGCCTATACTCATGATGGGGGAAACTGGCAGGGCAGATATTTTTCAAAATATAAATGAGTAAAAGCTTCAGATTAGCACAGTTTGTTTCTATGTCATTCGGCATTCCATTTCAAGCATTCCCAGCCTGAAAAGGATTTCAGGATTTTATATCAACATTCAGAAAGCTGGTCCCCATTAATATTATGAAGAAATACAGTCAACTGAATAGATGTGTCATATTTATCAGGTAAAAAGATCTACATATTGTTAATGTTATTAATTTAATTAGCAGTCATCTCTCAACCAGGTTGCAGTAGTTCGTTTTACACGGGGCTGCCTTTGAACACTACCCAGAAACTTCAGGTGGGGCAGCCTGTGGCTGCTCATGTGATAGTGGGTCAGTGTAGTTATTGCCATATTATACTGGAGCTGCTAATTTTATCCTAATTTTCATAGACTACCAAATTGATGACCATCAGATGTACTGGATGTCAGTTTCCAAAGTTCTCAGACAGTTTAGCTCCAACACCTGTGGCAATGTGGAGAACTGACAAGGGTGATGTTCTGACAAGGTTACCTAAGTGGTTTTTCAGTCTGTAGATCTTGAGGAAGTGACAGGGTCCTTCATGGTGGTAGTTCTGTCATATATAGGTTTGATCCTTGCCCCTCATGACTGGTCCAGGAGGGACTTAGGAGCTGGGTCCTGACAATGATAAATTTCTCGCTGGGAAAGGAAGAGGTGTTAATTTGCCCTCCTCCTCAAAAGCTCTATTGGACCCAGCAATTTTGGACAATTATTGGTCTATCTCTAACCTTCCCTTCTTAGAGAAAGTTTTGTAGAGAGAGGTAGAATGGCAATTGCCAAGGATTCAGGAAGAAGTAGATTGCCTAAATCCCTGGCAATCAGGATTTAGATTCAGGCATGGGACAGAAACCACATTTTGTTCTCTTGGATGACCTTTGTGGAACCAAGGATGTAAGGACCATGATCATCCTTGTCCTGCTGTATGTCTCAGCAGCATTCAAGAGCATATATCAAAATATCCTTCTGAATCACCAGCAGGAGTTCAGAATGGGAGGCAACATATGATGGTTTCTTTCCTTCCTTATTGGGTGATTCCAGTCAGTAGTTATGAGAGAGGAGAGATCGAATTCTCAAACCAAGATGAAGTGCTCAGGTCTCAGTCTTCTCCCTCATTCTGTTTAATACCTACATGAAGCTCCCGGGAGAGATTATCCACTGGTTCAGGGTCGGGTATCATAATATGCTGATGATACACAGTTATATATCTCCACCCAAAGCTGAATGGGAGATGCTTGGAAGCTGCCAGGAACTGGGTGGAGAGAAACAGGCTCAATTTCAGCTGAAGCAACACATATGGGCTTTTCATTCAGAAGTCTGCCAATTCTAGGACTGTACCAAGCCTGGGCAGGGTTGTCCTCCCCTGAAAGTACAGGCTTGCAATCTCATGACTTCTTCTAGAACAGCAGTTTGACATCATAGCCTTTTCCCAGCTTCAGCTGATGTGCCAGCTGTGGCCATTTCTGGAATATGAAATGCTGAATATACTCATGCCCATGTCACCTCTCTCAGTCAGATTGCTGTAATTCATTTTACATGGGGCTGTCCTTGGCAGGTTACTCAGAAACTCCAGGTGGGGCAGAATACAGCTGCCCATAGGATAATGGGTCAATCCATTACTGCCATATTCCACTGCTATTAAACCAACTACCAGTTTGTTTCTGAGTGAAATTCAAGGTACTGGTTATCACCTATGAAGTCCTAAATGGCTTGGGCCTCTGCGAGACCACCTATTTTGGGTAGAAGCTGTCTGCACAATGTTCACAGAACATGCCTGCTGAAAGTTTCCACTTATGAGAATGGAGTATTCTCTGTGGGTCCACGGCCTACTCCCCTCACCCTCCAATAGAGCAGTTTGCCCCCATAAAGGCTCCTTTTTGGAAAAGAAGTTAAAATCTGGTTATTTCAGAAGTCTTTCAGAGACTAGAATCTGAGTGTAGTCCATTGCTATGAATATTGTTCTTCACTGAAGTTACTGAATGCATTTACTGTATTGTAATCTTACTGTGCTATTTATTTGATATATTGTTAACTTGTGCATCACTTAGAGTCACTTATGACTGATGTGTTATGAAAGTCTCATTAATAAAGACAAAGCATTTAATATGGCATGAAGTTGGGGAGTTTACAGTTTACTTCACAACAGCTTATTCCATTGTAAATGTATGTGTCTTTATGGTGGCACTAGATTCTTTGTCGTTTTACTGCAACAGATCATATGCCTACTTTCATGTAGAGCACTTAATCTACAGATCTTATAAGGACCTGCTCCATTTACCTATGGTTACTAAGCAGTTTTGCAGAGAAATAAACCACTTAACAATCACAAATGTATTTGATGAACCATGGGAAAAAAGTCACCTTAACTGAAGCCAACATCTGATCCTCCACACTAGTAATGCAAGTTAAAGATTTAGAATTGCTCAAGGCCACCTAAGCCCCAGCTGAAACCTAATCAAAGGGGATAAGGAAGCTGTGATTCCCTAAATCTGCTTTTTCTTTCCATCTCTGTTTTCTCTGACTGATTAAATTACCGCTCCTTCAGGCAGTACATATAGTCCAAGCACAGCTAGTGACCCTCTTGCTGGAACAGGGAGCTTTTCTCATGCCCTTGGCTGTTGTTTTTCCATGTGTAGCTCGAAGCTCTCAAAAACCTTGCATACAGTACATGTTAATATGCATTCAGGTCCAGCAGTGGATTATCAGGTCTTTTGTTTCAAGAACACAGCATGCATCCAGATGCCTTCATAAAATATCCATAGCAAAACCCTGTGATGACTGTCCTGCTTATACATTTTTAAGGGACGTGCCCTAACTCCATTAAAATTAAAGGCATGAAGAGAGAGGAATGATCCCAGGGAACATATGGCTGCGTAACAAAGGAATACAGCTCAAATAGCAGAATGTGCAAAAAAAAAAAAAAAAAGACTGCAGTGAACTTTCTTTCTCTCTGGTATTTGTTAGAGAATTATAGACCCTTTGAGAGAATGAAATAACTTTCCTGATTGGGTGTTGCTGTTGTAGGCAGAGCTACTGCTGTGGGGATAGAGAGAGAGAAAACAAGTCAACCTAATTCCATTTGGGAAGATTCAAATAAAATTTACTTCTTCTGGCTACTTCTGGTCCTACAATGTTAGGGAAAAACGAAAGGATCCTTTGATAAAATTTATCACCGCTATATAGAAATAATTGCATTATAAAATGTAATATTGTTTCATGGTATGAGGCAAAAAACCCTAATATTTACTTTATAATTAAAATCCGGGGAGGAGGGCAGCCTGCTAAAAGCCAGTGAAGCTCTTACTGCTATCCCATTATGAAATTAAAGGTATAATGCTTATATGCGGGGCCAGAAGATGAAGAACATCCATTTATGCAGGCACATCGTGTTTAGGCTGCAACAAACTGGGACTCCCCTAGATGTCAGGAAGGAGTTACAGTTGTCAGTATCTTTTGCTGTCCTCTAGTGGTCATCTGGCTTTTTGAAGTCTAGATATGGCATGCTTATCTTACGATGGGCTGAATCAAAAATATTATTTGGTTCATTGTTTCAAAAATATAAGCCAACAGACTGACAATGAATTGCGTGCAAAAAAAAGTAATTACTTAGAAAGATCTTTCAAGCCTGCATAAGCAGGAGAGTCTTGATATTGTTCAAACTGAATTGAAGCAACTTAGAGAAGAACCCAAGAAACAGAAATACTTCAAAGCTGAGCAAGAGGCAGAAGAAGAGTGTATAACATTAGACCAGCATTTTTCAAACTTGGCAACTTTAAGATGTGTGGACTTTTAACTCCCAGAATGCTGGCTGTGGAATTCTGAGAGTTGAAGTCCACACATCTTAAAGTTGCCAAGTTTGAAAAACACTGGATTAGAGAGACTAAAGGAAGTCATCACCTCTCTGAGAAAGCTTCTGACCAGAGTGAAGTAGAAAGGACTTGGTGGCTTAAAAAAGCAAGAATACTTCAGAGAAGATGGCAACAAGTGAGTGACTTTTTTTTTTTTTTTTTCCTTTGTTTTTTTTCTTCATTCCCCTTTTATTTTTTTTTTTTTTTTTCCTTTGTTTTTTTTCTTCATTCCCCTTTTATTTTTTTTTTTTTTTTTCCTTTGTTTTTTTTCTTCATTCCCCTTTTATTTTTTTTTTTTTTTTTGCCCTGGGTTCTAGTCATCAAGCCCCTGATAAAATTTTAGAGTAGGCACAGACAATCTATTGGCTTTCAGATCTTTGCATTATAATTCCCATAATCTTGATCATTGGTCATACTGCCCCCATCACTGCTAGCAGGAATACTGATAATGGATAACCTTCTGCATTACTGAAAACCCTAATGTGTAAATAAAATAAAACAGATTACACAGCACATTTGGAAAGCAGATTCAATATTAACTCCATCACAATTTGTTTTTCCTCCATAGTATCGTTCATCCAACAGCCAATCCATCTGCCTGTTGCACATGGAGAATTTTAGAGGCTTCAGAATCAAAACTGGAGTCGTCTTGTTTTACTTGTCCTGGCTCAGCACCTTCCCCTTTTTATTTTGCATGCGTGAAAACAAGAACTGTCTACTTGTATTGTTCTGTAAACTGGAAGGGAGCCTTTCTGAAATACAATACTAAAGGGAGCTTTGAAAATTCATAGCACTAGATGGCAGCACAGAGTACTTTCTGTATCTCTTTGCTGTCATCTAGTGATTGTCCAGAGTTTTACTGCCCAGACATGCTAACCCTGTGGAACTTCAGAGCACAAACTAGCCCATCACATTTTAGAGAGCTATGTTTAGTGAACACAGCCCACATGCTTCATTAAAGCTTCACTGTTTCATGAAAACCTGGAAAATGGAGATTATTGAGTAACCCACAGTTCAATTAGCCACTGGTGTACTATGCCACTAGAGCCTGTGTGCTGAAAGGATAAGGGTTTAACAGGAATTCAAGTAGTGGCAGGGAAAATTAAAGAATAAAGATTTCTGTTTTTATATTGCGACGTGTTGTTTATGCTAGGAGGGATTATAAGAAAGCAAATTCAAACTTCCATACTTGAAAGTCAGAGTAACGGAAGAATGGAATGCCCAAACCCTAACCCTAACCCTAACCTCACATTCAGTGGGATTTAGAGAAATACAGTCTCCAGCATTTCACAGGCTGCATAGGCCCTTGCTCAAATTTCAAACAATGTCTGCAAACAATCAGCTCAGACATCTGGCTGTCTATCCTGTCCCTGCTAGCCTGTTAAGGGTTGGGGGGGGGGGGGAGGGGGGGGTGGTTGGGAAGAAAAGGAACATGGAGAGAGGAAAGGGGAGTGGTCCTGGAAAAAACATGTGATCATGCCCACTTTGGTCCTGCTCACCAGCTATCATCGTTG